TTTGTAAACAATAAGAACAAGAAAGTTGAACAAGTATTCAATAAGAGTTCTTCCATATTTCTTCACTATACTTAGAGAGTTTCTTTTGTTTATTTCAAGTTTCTCGGGTTGTACGGTCTTGGGCTAGTGCTAAGCACTATCATAAGTTTTCTCTCCAGAATCCACCTAAGAACCATAACAGTGTTGATCCTCTTTTCTTCTCTGCAAAACAATTTAAAAGAAAAAAAATGTTTCATGAATCATTCAGAATGAATGTATATATCAACAAGACTCAGAGCTTAATCATAAATTAGATATGTAAGAGTACGCATGAAATATATACTTGCGGGTGGTGTATCATAAGAAATCGATTGAGTCTCAAGAGAGGTCGAAGTTTGTGGAGTCGGATTCAATAATAGATTAGTAAAAAGATTGCTAGTAGAATAAGACCTATGACTGTTAGAGATCAATCTCGTAAAAGTTTTAGAAAAAAGTTTATTCATCTTTGTCTCCTCCAAGATTCTTGATCTTGAATATCAATAATAAAAAAAAAAAGATTCTTGATCCTGTAATTTTTTGGTGAAAATCTAAGACGACGAGTTTGATTAAGTCTTTTTTTTTATAAAAGTTTGATTAAGTCTTCATTCTAATGTTTTTTATTAGCATAAGCACATGGCACATTATGTTAATGGAAATATTTGATAACAACTAGCCAAAAAACAATTTAATATAACGTACGGTAAGGTGGATTTCTCCAATACTCACATCATGTAAAGTCTTATTTTTAATGAAAGAATTATATTTTTAGGTTTGAGAAATATTGTGATTTTTTCAACAAAAGAAAAGTTTACTACAACCTGAATGTCTAAAAGTACATCTATAACAACAATTAGTCACTTGGTGGTCTATCTATATAAACTTGAATGGGGTTTTACATTCATATTTCATATATATAGCTAGTTTTGGTTTTTAGTGTTTATGTAGATATTTATACAAATATTTTTTTTCATCACAATTATTATTTTTATCTGATATGTTTAAAATAATCTTATCAAGGAGATTTTGTGCCATATCATGAACACTATAATATTTTAGAATAAAATGTTGCTTGCATAGTTACAGTGAATATTGAATACAAATGGGTAACTTGAGTTCTCTATATATCTTATCAAAGAGTAAAGATACAAAATAGATAGTTTCCAAAAATAAACATATATAACTTGCTCTTACAGCCCATTCTACCAAAATCTGAAAGAAACAAATTAAAAAGGTATATATACAAACTGTACTATAAAATTAAGTTACTAAAAATGGTAAGGTCGGGGTCTAATTTGGTCTCATTGCAGAGATAATCTGAGAGAAGAGCTTACACATTAGAAATAGGTTTTCTACATTCTACTGATGACTTGTTGTCTACGTAATAAGGAGATACGTTAATAACCCTGCATAATACAAAAAAAAACAAGCTTACCAAAACCTGATTTGATGGAACAAAAGTTGTAGCTTAGTAGTTATAAGTAGTACCTTTCTTTACGTTTCTCTAAGAACCGAGTCAAGGATGCTTTGCGCGCTTGCGGTAAACCCACTGTAATTGGATTATAGCAAGATTATGATTATAATATAATCTTAAGCTAATAAAGAAATTTGGTTTGCAGAAATTTTTGACATATATTATAAGGTCTTAAGACTTCATTTTAACCTGATGGGACCATATTGGAGGCATCGGTCTGGTCGTTTTGCGGTGTGGATGCTAAGCTCGACATTGTTTTGCTTCCTCCAAGTCTAGTGACTCCATTGGATCCACTTCCGGTTTCAGAGACAATGTAAGAGGTAAAAGGCAGGAAACTAGGATGCATAGTTGGAGGATCAATGGTTGCAAGAGAATGATGAACCGGTTTTTGAGATTTAGACATTGGAACCGGTTTAGCCTGAGGTCCATTTCCGGCTAGTAACATTATAGCATCGGCCTATATATGAGTGAGAAATGAAGAATTAAGCATAATGATTTATCATATTTGATCATGTTACTTCTGTTGGAACCAGATTAGTGGCCTTCTAATTTCACTCTAATCTTTCGAAAAGCTTCAAATCGAAACTGGTTAATAACGTTGAGAGTAATTAGGAACTGTAATGTAATATAGATTGGTGGAAAATCAGGTTACCTTTTCAGTAGATATGTCTTCGTAAACAGATACCGAACCCGCATAAAAGATTGTTAACTGACCAGGTGGTGACCCTCTAGGTGTTGAAGGAGATCTGGAAAAAGAAAAGCTGAAAGCGTGAGACAACTATGAGATTGCAGAACAAGAACAGAGGTTCTGTCTCTGAGTTTTAACAAGAAGAAGATGGAAGTAGTTCATGCATGCCTGATAACAGTACTTGGAGCAGGAAAGACTGAAACTGGAGGTGAAGCTTGGTGGTTTATGAAACTGTTGGTGAAGCGTTTCCTTTCTGGTCTATATTGAGACTGAAGACCAGGATCATACATGGAGGTTGTGATGGTTGTTTGGTCCTGATGATTGCAAATGGGGAACATTCTGACTTCCTGAGATCATAAAGTCATAATGAATCTCTCTTATAAGGGAAAGAATCCATAAAGGTCCGTACCTGTACAGAATTGTAGTGAGTCCTCCGTTTTTGTTCATTCCTAGCTGATGTTGATGTGAAGGCATTAGAAGGAAGCAAATGATCATTGACTGAATTTCTACGCCTAATTTGTTGAGATGATCCGAAAGAAAGAAACCGAGGCGCAGAACCGACTTTGTTTGAGAAGGACCAATCCATCATAACTCTAGTCAGAGCTACAAAAAGAAATTGAGATTCATCAGCTGAAACATGAGGAAAATTTCTCAAGATGTTACCAAACCAGGAGAAGTAGAGATACAAGCCATATATTTCTCAACATCTTGTAACATGGTTCTTGACAAAATTTACCAACAAATGAAACAGATATGTATAGCTGAAACCTTGGGGGAAAAAAGATGATCATACAAATAGTTCACAAATTAAACAAAAAAAAAGCACAAAAACTGAGATTGAAACAGAACCTTAAGTCTATAAGGGAAAGAGCAAAGTACCTTTTTCTTTTCTTCTCTCAAATTGGGTCGTGCAAAAGTTTGACCAAGACAGATGCCAAAGTTTAACACTTGAGAGTAGATTCATTAACCAATATGTCAAATCAATTCTCTCAATAATATTAGTAGTTTGTATATATGCTCTTTAGGTTATGAATTTGTTATTTGTTGTTAGATCCACCCTCTCAAATCAAGAAAGCGTGTAATATAATTGTTTAATAAATAAATGTGTTGCTAAATGATATCATGTCACAATTCGATTTGTAGCTTATTATATTATATAGAAAATGTAGTAGTATGTATTAAAATTGAGAAATGTTCATCTTTATTGTTTAATTTAATCCCACAACACATGAACACTCCACTACTTTTTATGAAATGGCAAGTTTCGGAATTTAAAAAGACAAGAGTGTGGATTAGTTTAATTTCTCGTGGGTAATTAATAAATCATTCATCCAAATTGTACCTTAAATCAAATTTAACTCCCAGCATGATTATAAACTTAATTAAGTAGTCTACTTGCAAAGAAAAGAAAAAATCAAGTCACACTCAATCTTGCTTTTAGGGGTGGACAAATT